AATAAGAATTATGGTTACTGTATTTGTTTTTCCTTTCTTAGTGGCACATAAAATAATATGTTTAAAATCAATGATCTTGGATAAAGAATTTATTATAATCTTCACACTTGATTGATAAATTACTAAATTTGCCATGCTTTCATCCTCTACTAGGAACTCTAAGAATAGGTAGTAAAATAGCTGTTTGACAATTAAATGGTCTAAAATGAACACAATTATATCTTTGGGGAAATTTAATTCCAGTTTTGAGAAAGATGTAGCTAGGCATATGCCCTGAAAATCCCCTTTGGAGATGAGATCCAAAGAGCTTCTGAAGGAATTAATATCAATTAGCAGCATTATGAGGAAATTATTTATTTTCCTCTAGGCCAGGACAACCAAATACAAATATATATGTGCCCAAATATATTTTTATACTTTGAATCAAGAGAATCTTTTCTATACTTGTCTAAATATGTTCCAAAAGATGTAGAATAAAATATGTATTTTAGATTTAGAATTTTAGAACTGGAAGGCAAATGAATGAATGTTAGAGTTTCTCCCAGATCTAATTTTTATCTTCTATTTTCATCATCCCTGTCAATAGGCTCAGAAAATGAAGCCCAGAAAAATTAATTTATTCATCTAAGACAACACTATTTGACAGCAGCACAGTCAAGATTAGAAGCTTTGGCTCAAGGTTCTCTGTTCTTTCCATTATACCAAATTGTCCCATAATATATTAAATACATATATAGGATAATGAGTGTAGAAGATGTTGTGGTGTTCTTCCCAATTCTTTCTCCCTCCTCCCCAAACACACACACACACACACACACACACTTTCACAACTAGGGGCTTCATTTTCCCAGTTGCTGAAAATGTTGGCAGCTGAATGCATTCAAGTAAGTTCTTCTTTGAGAATTTCTCTCTATCCCCACCCCCTCCCAAAAAGCCTGCCCACTAAAGGTTACGCCCCCTTCTCAGAGCCTGCCAGTGCCTAATAACGCCTTGGTGCAAGAGTATAAGGCCTCCGACCACTTGCCTAAATTGAAGACAACTCTGAAGAGTCATTCCAGCTTCATATCTTCCTGTGTGATCATTTGAGACAGTTTAATTGCACAGAGTTTAAATTCTACCTTTGCCAGACCCTGCGTTCTTCATCCCCCCCATAGGCGTTAGCTTGAGAATACTCTCCAATAAACTTTTTCTTTATTGTCTCAAACATATTTATCTCAGAGTCTGTTCTGGGAGATCAAAGTACAAAAACAAATGCAAAGTTTCTTGAATATTCTGGAGTAAATTGCTTTTTTAAGTCTCTATTGAAGTCTTCAAAGTGGTTTAGCTTCTAAAGGATGAAATGTGCATCTATCAAAGTAATTTCTAGGTATATTGGTCACTTTATTACTGTAATTATTTTTATTGTTGCTGTCATCAAGATAACTATGTTCCAGGTATAATTTTAGGCATTTTATATACAGCAGTTTATCAAATCTTTACAATAATCCTGTATGTAGATACAGGTATGATTATAAATCTTCCTTTCAGAGTTGAGGAAATTGGTGACTTAGGACGGGTAACTTGCCAAGCTCACCTAGCTAGAAAGTGTCTGATTCTGGTTGATTCTTTCATTAGACTTTAAGCTGCCTGAAGGCATGAGCCAGTTCTTTTATGAACAGCACTGTTTTCCATCATATAATATAGTGCTTTACCCTCAGTAGTGGTCAGTAAATATTTATTAAATGAAGAAATCAATCCATATATGTCTGACCCAAAATCCATGTGACTAACCCCTGTACTATACAGTCTCACATGTATATGATGAGCTCTGGACTTAATGCTGAACATCACAAAGAACTAAGAAAAAAAAGTCTAAGATATCAAAAGCAGTATATGCCAAATAAACAGGAATGGGTCATATATGCATTTTTCTTTAAAAAATCAAGAGTGAGATTCTTCATTTTTCTTCTTTTTATGGTAGATTCACATGTACCCTATAGGTATCAGATACTATACAAGAGAAGAAGCATTGAGGCTGCCTGTGAATTGAATTATTTGATTCCTTTAATATGCCTATATTAAGTGAATACAGGCATATTCCTTTAATATGCTTATATTAAAACTGTATATTCAATTTAATGTAATAGTCCAGAAGGGTTAAAGTGATCACAAAAGAAAATAATGATTATTTCCCCAAAAGAAATGTAATGGAAATGAATCTCCACCCACCTCCTCTACTTTCCTAGGCATCCTCTATAGAACTAGAAATGAAAAAGAAACATTACCACTGGTAATTATTATGATGAATTTACTAATGTATCTTTTGTCCTGAAATAACTTTTTTTTTTCAGAATACTTTACAAATAGCACTCATTATGTGTATAACATCTGCGTGCAGATATTAAACACAGTGTTGATCTGGAGTCTATCAGTAACTGATTCAATAATTAAGCATTTTACAGAAGTGAAGTCGCAAAGATGACGAGAAAATAAAAGCTCACATTTCTAAGTAGGTCCCTATAACTCGAGTATTGGGAAAGAGATAAGAAGAAATAAGCTAGACAAGTTCCTAAACAATGAAAATTGAATCAAAATAGTTTATTCTTTTTACTTCCGAGGAAGTCCCTGAAACATCTGTAAGTCATGGAAATGCTTCCTTTATAAACTAGCTAGCCAGCCTGACTACCTCTACTCCAAATCTAATTTTCCATTTTAAGTCTTCCATAGAAGTAGTAGAGTGGCTTCTATAAGCACATAGAAACTAGAATGAACATTTCAAAATCAAGACAATAAAAAAAAAAAAAGAAGAAAAGAAAGAAAAGGCATGACTAGTAAAATAACTCAATCTGAAATCATTGAGTATATGGAAATCCTAAAGAAACCTCCAACAGACCTTAGTTTTGCAGGAAATCAGAGAGTCATCTTATTAGTGATAATCTTGAAGCATACATTTAGATTACAATATTATTCTGCATATAATTTTTTTTAAAATGTGATACATTTCAGAAATATTCCCATGGGCATACTGAGAGGCAGAATGAATTAGTGGTTAATCAAGCAGACTGCCTACCCTATACTAGCTATAGGGTACAAGTGAACTCACTGTTTTACAATTTTCTAGTCTGTTTAATAAGGATAATAGAAATTACTTCGAAAGACTCTTGTGAGGATTAAATATATTAAGGCACTAGAAGAATGCTTGGCATATAATACTCAATAAATAGTATATATTATTATCTCTAACATAAACTTTATTCAGCAAATATTTATTAAATGCTTAATATGTGCCCGAGAATTGGGTCAAGAGGATAAAGTGGATATAAGAGAAGTGGACAGTCAACTTGAGATTGCATTTTTGTAGTATATCAGCAAGGACTTGATTTAAAGGGGTAAAAGGAAAAGAGAGAAAGAAAGGATAATTTTCAGTGTTGGCCTGATAGTGCTGCCATCTGAGAAAGAGGCTCTGGGGAGAATAGGTTTCAGAGTCAAAATCAAAGTTTGATTTTGTTGTTTTGTTTTATGTCAAATTAGTGATATTAATTAAAGTGATGATGGCTGGATGACCAAATTGGGGTTTGAAATAGATATCAGGTTTGGAGAAATGGTTTTCTAGAGAACGATGAAAAGATGGGCATTTAATACTATACCATTTGTGTAACAAGTATGCAGAAATTTTCATTGGCTTCTTCCACATGTTTTGCAACAACTGACTGCCATATACTCTACTCTCTTCTTTTTTTTCCTCCTCCTCTTAGTATCAATAATAAATCCTCCACTTTTGCCACCAGAGCAATAAATCAGCTAGTCTGTTTCTAGCTCAATGTGTTTTTCCAAACCCAGACAGAGCTCTCTTCAAGAGGAATTCTGGTGCCAGCTTATAATCTTTGCTACCCCCACAGCATGATTCAATGAGCTGTGTCTTGTTACTATCATGACAGTATAAACTTCTTGTGAGAAAGAGGGTGGCATATGTTTGTGGATCAAATTTGGATTAATAAAGTTCATCCAAAAGACTAAATGAAATACATGCTGAAATTTCTCTCAAGTGCTCTACTATTCTTTTTAGTCATTGTTGTGACTTTGTTTTAGTTCCTTAAATTTCTAGGTTACCACTTTGCTGATACAAATAATGATACTGGTAATTCTAAAATTCTCTCAGTATATACTTAAGTAAATAATAGCATATTAAATCCAACAAAAAAATTAATAACTCCATATATAGATGTTCATTACCTATTAAAATAATCTGTATTCTCAGATAAAGGTATAGATTTGAATTTTCAAAATTAGATAAATTTCAAATGCCTTTTATTTCAATGATAAGAAGAAATGAGCTATCAATCCATAAAAAGACATAAAGGAAACAAATGCACATTACTAAGTGAAAGAAGCCAATCTGAAAAGTATGATTCCAACTATACCACATTCTGAAAAAGATATAATTGTAGAGACCATAGAAAGATCAGTGGGTGCCAGGGGTAGAAGGATTAGGGAAGAGATGAATAAGCAGAGCACAGGGAACTTTTTTAGGACAGTGAAAATATGATATTATAATAATGAATAAATGTCATTATAATTTTATCTAAACTTATAGAATGTACAAACAGTGAACCCTGATGCAAACTATGCATTTGGGTGATTATGATGTGTCAATGTAGGCTCATCCTCAGTAAAAAAAAAAAAAAAAGTACCACTCTGGTGCATGATGTTAATAAAGGGGGAGATTACGTATGTGTGGGGTCAGGTGGTATGTGGGAAATTTCTGCCTTCCTCTTGATTTCATTGTAAACCTAAAACTGCTCTTAAAAAAATGTAGTCTTTAAAAACAATGTCTTTTGGAATAACTTAGCTGTTTAACCACTATTGGTGGTAGTGAAAAATTTACTCTCATGGAGAATTGATTTAAGCCTTGTTGAAAATGGAGAGATTTGCACAGAAATTGTGAAAATATAACTGTATTCTATGTGTGCTATGATTGTATTTTTTAAAGATATCATTTTCTTTCTGTGTCTTTACCATAGGCTACATATCGAAATCGAATTGTGAGCCAAAGTCTCAGCACAAGGGACAGAAAAGCAATGCATACTCCCACCGAGGACCGTTTTAGATACTCATTGGCTGACCAGACAAGCCCCTACAAAAGCAAGACCTGTCAACTGTCAAATCTATGTTTAAGTAATTTCTTGAAGGACAAGGAACTAGCAGAAGTTATTAAACATTCAAGAGGAACTTATGAAACCCTCACTTCAGAGGTCACCCAGAACCTGCGGGCCACTGTTGGGCAGAACTCTCTAAAGCCAACGGCTAAGACCGAAGGGCTCCCCACGTTCTCAGAGAAACCAAAGGACCAGGCTGCTGTGGCCAGACAGCATTCAACCTTCACAGGCAGATTCGGACAGCCACCAAGAGGGCCAATCTCTTTACACATGTACAGCAGAAAGAATGTTTTTCTCCATCATAATTTACACACCACTGAGCTGCAGACTCTCGGCCAGCAGGATGGATAATTAAGACACCCAATTCTTGTCTCTGGGTTGGATAAAGATGGTTAGTGTTTCTCATACATAGCTCATATTTAAATTGTCATGTACTTATTACATTTTATTTTTAGTTATAAACAAAGAACCGTACACTTTTTTTTTTTAGAATGAGGGCTCAAGCATGTTAAATGAATTAGGTTGGATAGTCTTGAAGATTTTATTCTATAGATGTATAATAAATGGGACCATCTTGCTGGTTTATATAGTCCATAATATATTTATCTTTTATCTATATCGGTCACTGATATACATTGAAGTTCCAGAAAGTAATATCAAATAGCACTCTGTTCACTTGATGGTGTTACTGTGAAGATAGATGTGAGGAATAAGTAGATAAAAAGATTGTAAAGAATTTTAAATTACATAGTTAATAGAAGGAAAAAAGAAGAGGGATTTTAAAGTCTTATATTTGATGGTGTATTTATTGAAGAATGAAGTCTGCTTGCATGTAACCTAGAGATACGTGTGTCTCTATTACATACATTCAAGCTTATCTTGCCATACTATTAAGGAGGGAAAAGCTATTTCTTTTATCCTCTAAATGTTTAGTTCACACTAGTTCACAAAGGATTTCAGACTGAGTAATTGCTAGCCAAATAGAGAATGACAGCTCTGATCTTCAAAAAATTTTGCTTTTAGTTTTTGCTATTGATGTTGAAGTACTATGACATGACACAGTGAGGTGGTAAAGTTGGCTTAATTTTGTCAAATGATGCATCAAGCATGACATGCTTGCTCTGAGTCATGGCAGTATCAGCATTTTTTTTTTTTTTTTTAATTCAAAGGATGAAACATGAAAATTATTTTACTTCACTTTCTTTGTATTTTTTAAATTGTTGATTATTTTTTTATATATGTTCAATTTTACCCTATATACATCGACCCATACATGATAAATTGAGGAACAGAAAGTCAGTTTCTTAGTAGCCCAGTATAAACTATTCTGACTCTTTAGTCATCTAGATTTGAGGGAAAATTAAAATACATGTGAACTTTGGCAATTTGATCTTAGAAATAAATCTCTAACAGGAGTATTTAAAACTCATTTGATGGCAAATATTTTTCTTGCCAAATAAGGCCTATTATGTTTTATATTCAAGTGCACATGAGAATGATCAATAAATCTAAATAAAATAATTTCTTTATGTTTAATAACAGAACTATATGCAGCTGTAGAAATAAATAAAAGTAATTTAAAACAACTAGTAGGAATCAGGGCTGCAGTTTTCTTATACAAAGATAAAAGCTAGTAACTATATCCACATTAGGCAAAGTCCATGCAAATTGAAATCGTCATACCTACTGCATGATCTGTTTCCCTTACATTTTCTAACAGATAGAATCCATCAGTGTGTGCAAATGAAACGAATAAAGGGAAATTGAGATAGCATTTTTTAGCATGGCATCTGACTAACCTGCTTAAATTAAAGCTATGTGTGAAATGCAACCTCCAAGACAAAAATGTATTTGAGCTCTATGCTTTGGGGAAAAGCCATTAGATTTCCTCCCATAGCTTTAACCATTAAATTTTGGTCAAATTTTCAAACCTTGATTAGAATTAGTAAGAGTAAAGAATCTAGTGGATATGTTATACTTGTGATTTTGGTTTTCTAAAGGAGGACACATGTGCATCAAGACAAATGGTTGCCAAATGTTTTCTTTCTTTGATGTGCTTGTAATTTTGCTAGAAGAGAACAATACGCACTGCAATTTGCTCAGCTTAATGAGACTGCTATCTAAAATCCCCTCTATACTTTAGAAGCTATAATACATTTTGGGCTGGGCAATATTTAAGACATGATAGAAAAATAGAAAAATTATGATTATTGTGGAAGTTGCTTCATTTGTCCTGAAAGTTGGTGTGTGTTGCTAGAGTATTTGAATTCTGTAAATAAATTAGCATGATAAAATGGTCAAGGATTTTTTTCCCAGGATATGGAAGAACTATGTATCACAAATAATGTTTTTGATTTGGACTTTTGGAGTTTATAGTTTTGTTTTCCTGGAAGACAAACTTTTGAATTATACTTTGTAAAAAAAAAAAAATCTATTTAAGAATATCTGTCATTTAATAGACATTTTAAGAGACATTTTAAACACTAGTATTTTCTTGGAAAACCTTTTTTAAAGCTGAAACATTCTAAAAGAAAACCTGAATTAAACAGTTCAATTTTAAATGGAAGGATATTTTTTGGAAATATCATCTTAAAGCTGTTTTGTATCAGTATTTTCAGCATTGTTATAATATTATTTGTAATACTAAGTGTAACTCAGGCCTGGAGAAGGTGTAAGCCCACTGTGCTAATGCACATCAGTAACTGTGAAACAGGGGTCCTTTGTAAGTTCCCCTTGTGTATATACAGTAACTCATAACAATGGCATATGGGCATTCTTTCAGCGAATCGATTTCTTTGTACTAAAATCTCTAGTTTTCTAAGACAGTTCCATGTATAAAAATGATTTATACATTTCTCCAAGGCAGTACATATCCAAAGACAGGACACCAGGGGGAAAAAGTGCTTGTTTTTCTGATGGAAGCAGTTGTCATCTTTTCTTTCTCTTTCTTTCTTTTGTGCATGTATATGTGTAGCTAAGCCTAAGTAACCCTGTAAAATTTTTGCTGCAAATCGTCTCTTCTGAATTTAGAATGTGTTTTAAAGGACACTTAAGAAGAGAGATTCCTTGAGGAAAAGCTGTTTCCACCTGAAATAAACTGTTCTCATTTTTGTAATTGTTGAAACATGAAACTGTATTTCTATGAACTCAGTGATTTTTTCAATTAATTTTATATGCTAACAGAGTCACAGTGAAATTATGAATTATCTCTCAAAGTATTTTTGCTTCTTTGGAGCACCACAGTTTGTGCAAATCATACCACGAAACTAGCTACGATGCTAAAGGTGTAAATCTACAAGTATCAATAAGCTCAGGGTAAGAACCTAGGGCCACACGTTATTCGAGTAATTTCTGTTATTTATTGAGATATAAATAGCAAGGCACCAGTCGATATTGATATTTGTGGGCATGCCCATACTTATCTAACAAAATGTTTACAGAGATTTTCATGATCAATCTGGATTTATTACCTGTGTTTTACCTCTTATATTTCCCAAGATTTAATCTCAGCCCATTGTTACTATTTTCTATGTTAAAGGATTCAAAGAAATTCATTGAATTCAAAGGAAATTTCACATTTTGTTTTGTTTACCTTGTGTGTGTTTAATAGAGACAATACCTCCCCAAAAAGAGTTAAGATTTTTTAAATTATCATGTATTTAAGGACTACATTCCCAAGATAACTGATCATATTCCACTAGTCCTCCCAAGGACATTTTTAGTAACTTAGTTGTCAGTGGAACAATAGGAGCAGTTTATTGAACTACAAGTACATTATGCACACTCATTATCCACATTCATTATCACCTTTCTCATTATTAAGAGTAGTAACCCATTACAGTGGGTAATTTGGAATACTGGATATAATTTTATAATCTAAATTTTGCCCCACTTTTTCACTTTCAGAATTTTATATTCCAAATACTTAGAAGTAGAGAGTGCTTATAAACAGCCCTTACAACTCCATTAAGCCATGTGTAGATCAAAATGGAAAAAGAAAGGGAGATGACTGTAAAGGTGCTGTTTTTGATTTGCCATCCATATGACTGAATCATACTCTCCATGGCCAGAAGCTTTTGCCGTGGCAACACATCTGTTTAAATGCAGCATTTGATTCATTCATACCAGGATGTTTATTGCCTTCTGGGTCTTGACTCTAGGCATTATTATTGGGTCTTTTATGTATTTTCATTTCCTTTTTGTACAAGAAATAGTTTAATCAGACATAATATTTGGGAGGAATTTACTCCTCTTGGAATTTAAACATTTTTCTTGTTCTTTTCTTATGTGCTTACTTTGTCATGCCAACTCTAGGCTATAAATAAACACATGGAAGGAATGATAAAAACTATAAGCTAGTTTGGGTTCTTATAAAAAGCTGAATTGTACCATAGAATGAGAGCAAATAAATAGCCAACTACCAACCAACCAAATAAAGATGCCCACTTTTCTAACAAAATACATTATCATTGCCAAATTTTAATTTTTTTCAAATCTTAATCTGTGCCAAGTTCTCTCACCAATAGTCGGGACCACAAACCTATCTATAAACTATTTACAATAAATCTGATCATGCTCAAAACCAAGTTGTATTTCTAAGTGGTGTAACTCAAGAACAAAAGTCAAAGATATCACTTTCTGGGAGTGGAAAAGTCTGAAGGCAATTCACCCCATTTTAGACCTGGAGTTCTCCAAAAAAATTATGACACAATAAAAATTCTTAATTAAATGAGAGTGGCTTTCTTCTACCTGAATAACTAATCCAGGATGTGAGATAGTGTGGTTCTTTCTAGAAATACTCCAATGTAGCCTCATTAAACTCATCACTTTAATATAGTTTCTCCTCTTGAACATACAATTCAAGAAAAAGAGACTTGTACATCTTATCATCTTTTCTAAGCATTATCTCCTTGCTTTAGTAAGCTCAGGTTGCTATAACAAAATACCAGAGATTGGGTGGTTTAAACAATAGATTTTTATTTCCCATGGTTCTGGAAGGTGGGAATCTAAGATCATACAGTTGTGTCCTTTTCACTGTGTTCTTACATGGCAGAGATTGAACCAGCTGTGGTTTATTCCTCTTCTTATAAAGTCACTAATCCCATCACCTCATGACCTCCTCTAAACCTCATTACTTCTTAAAGGCTCCACCTCCAAATACCATCACACTGGGGTTCAGGCATCAACATATTAATTTTGGAGAAACACAAACATCCAGTCCATAGCATTAATTTTCAGCTTACAACAACTTAGTAAGTTTGCTATTGTTTTACTCACATCATAAATGAGATAAGAAAGATTAGATAATTTGCCGAGGGCACACAACATGCATGTTTAATTAAACTGGATTC